ATATACTAGTAGCTTTGATCATTTTGAATATAGCCCTATAGTTAGTCAATACTCAATAGACCCAGACCAAGCTACAATTTCTTCGTCTACTTTAACCTCTTATAACGAAGACACCACTTAAATCCAATTTTCCCTACAAGATAGAAACGAACTCCAACTCCACCTCTAACTGATATTCCTCTCGGACTCTCTATCTATACATCTCCTTCTCAATTTCTTTCTACTTCTCCTACTAATACCTCTAATCAACAATATTTTAATTTTACTCTTAATCCTCAAATAGCAATAACTAACTTTATTCATCAGTTTATCTCTACCACTACCTTATCTAATAGGAACCTTCTAATCCCTGGAAATTATCCTCAAGCTAATCTAGATCTTAATAACACTTCTTCCTCACACTACACTCCACTAGACTCTTTACCTCTTTATCAACCAACTCAACTTCCAAACCAATCTAATTAACTTTTCGATAATATAATCCAAGTCTTAGACGACTTTGAAATCGATCACCATTCTCTAAATAATCAGGAAAATCAAGAAGACTATAATCTTAAAAATTTCTTTGACGTTGAAACCAATAACCAAGAAGCAGAAAACCAATAAGAAGACTCAGATCATGAAACTATTCAAACAGACGAATCAGAAGATATTAATATAGGTGACCAAGCTTTACAAGATACTGCTAATGCCATGACTGCATTAGCTTGAGCCCTAAGTGCTAGTAGTGAAAAGACTCTGTTTAAGATTGAATCTTTTCAAGGTGATAGAACTCAAGACTCTATAACTTGGTTAGACAATTTTGAACAAGTAGCCAAAGCTAATAGATGGAATGCTGCCTACAACTTGAACTTGCATTTGCTTACCTAACTGACAATACCTAGGAATAGCTCCAAAGCTTAGTCGATGCTCCTACTCATTTTAGATATCAACAGCATGAACAAGTGGTTAATGGACACAATGTCCGTAGTTTTTACTATTTGTTTAGAGAAAAATTTTACACCACTCAACAAAAAGCTACTTGGCAAAAACAACTCTTTGCTATCCAACAAGGCTCAGATACAGTTGATACCTATGTTAACAAATTTAAACAATTAAAAGAACGAGTTGACCCAGAGAATAATTTCCCAGCTAGTTTCCTCATTCAACTCTTTGTACAAGAACTTCAACCAGAATATTCAGTAAATGTCCAAGCCTCAGAACCTGCAACTCTAACCGCAGCAATAACTGTAGTACAATGATAGGAAACTGGAACACTCATAGTCTCTAAAACAAATTCTATTACAGATAAAGCCATTGAACAACTCACTAAACAAATAGCTGAGCTAAGTATTAATCTTGCTGAGAAACAGACTACTCCTACTTCCAAACCAATTTACTACTCCAATAACTCGAACAGAAACAGATTTGACAATAATAACTAACAGGATACCACTTGCTATTATTGTGGAAGTAAAGGACATTACATTAAAGATTGTCGCAAGAGAAAAGAAGATTTTAGACATGATTCCTATTCTGATTTCTGATTCAGTTATTACAATAGTTTCGTGATCTGAGTCTTTTTGTTGGTTTTCTGCTTTTTGGTTATTGTTTTTAATGTCAAAGAAATTTTCAAGATTATAGTCTTCTTGATTTTTCTGATTATTTAAAGAATAGTGATCAATTTTAAAATCATCTAAGATTTGGATGATGTTATCTAAGAGTTGATAGTGTTGGTTTGGGAGTTGAGTAGATTGATAAGGAGGCGAAGAGTCGAGTGGGGTATGGTGTGAAGGAGAAGTGTTATTGAGGTCTAGATTAGTTTGAGGATAATTTTCAGGGATTAGAAGGTTCCTATTAGATGAGGTAGTAGTAGAGGTAAACTGATGAATAAAGTTAGTTATTGCTGTTTAAAGATTAATATTAAAATTAAAATATTGTTGGTTAGAAGTATTAGTAGGAGGAGTAGAAAGGAATTGAGAAGAGAGTGTATAGATAGGAGGTCTGAGAGGGATATCAGTTAGAGGTGGAGTAGGAGTTCGTTGCCTATCTTATGGTGGAAATTGGATTTGAGTAGTGTCTTCATTATAAGGGGTTAAGGTAGATGAAGAAGTTGTGGCTTGGTCTGGATCTATAGAGTATTGACTAACTATAGGACTATATTCAAAATAATCAAAGCTACTAGTATATTCGTTAGGGATAAGGGAACTAAGATTTCCTAAAACTTCTTCTGGGGTTCTATTTAGATAAGGGTTAAGGGTAGAGGTACTAGCTGGGAATTCAATATTGGTATCAAAGGTTGTGGCTTCAAAGCCAAAAGAGAGATGAAATTGTAGAGTGTATTGAGTATATTTAACTAAAAGGCTTTCAACAATGTTTTTAGAGTTTTCTATAGGGGTATTATATCGGCAACTAAATATTATATCATGTGCTGCTGCTCTGGCTCTAGAGTAGGTAGAGCTATTAGTTAATTCTAGATGCGCTTGCACTTACTAATCTGTGAACACGAGTATTTACAAAAATACTTTTTTTTAATTTGCAAATATATCATTTTTTAACAATAATTGTTTGTATATTGCCAAGGCCGTAGCTATTACATTAATAAAAAAAATTATTCTGCATAATTATTATCAATATACCTATGACACGTCTTTTTTTTTTGCAGTTATCATTTTAACACACTTCAAAATGATTACATTGCCAAGTGTAAATGATGAATTTTTGACTTTAGAAGCTTTGGAGGAAGCTACACAAGCTGCTGCCAAAGCCCAAGGTTTTGCATTTTCAAGACGTACTAGCAATTTGGAAGGTCATGACAGCAAATCACCTTTTATTGTTTTACAGTATACAAAAGGTGAAAAATGGCGTAATAATTAGGATATTATACCTGAATCTCATAAAAGAAATTCAAAAACTAAATGATGTTTCTGTCCTGTTCGTATTCGAGCTACTGCTACTAAAAAACAATTGTCTATTGTATGGATTATTACAAAGGTTGAATATACTCATAACCATTTATTACTTTCATCAAATGAGGTATTAAGTTTTCTTCAATATCGAAGATTGAATATTGACTAGAAAAAGCTTTTGCATGAACTAAATATTGTTGGCACACTTACACGTATTATTACTAGTGCTATTAATCAGTTTAGTAATAGTGGTATTGTTGTACCAAAGGATATTGTAAATAAATATGCATGAATTAAATATGCACTTAACGAAGGCCCTAATGCTGATTTAGCACAAAACTTTTACGTCTTTTACAAGAACGTAATTATATGATAGCACTGTTATAAAATGAGTTTCAATTATTTTATCTTATTATTTTATTTATTATTTTTATTATTAGTATTTTTATAAATA